AATCTAAAAATGTATGAAGGTACTTTAATTAAATTTGTATCATGTTATACAGAATGAATCAGCATGATATATTAACTTAAGAACAGCTTATTTTTTGTTTTAATAATTTTTACTTTTAAAATGACGTGGGGAAAAGTCTATAGATAGTAATAGTCCAATATTGAACTTAATAACTTAATTTTATAGTTATAAACCAATTTAATGAATATCAAATCTTTGACCAATAATTTACATGTTTTTTTATCGTTACATAATGATCAATGATTAATTGTGAGCTATTAGCGGTAGACAAATTAGGTAAAAATACTGTTTAAAAACATATGGCCGGCAATAATTTTAGTTCAAGTTTCATATTTTGGTAATCATCATTATTAAGTTTTTATGTTTTTGTTAAGTTGTTTTTATGAGAAGATAATTAATGCAAATAAAATTATGGTTAAACATTAAAAAATAAATGTATAAAATGACTTGTATCAATAATTAAAATGAACATATTTCTAACATGAAAATGTTATTTTTTTAAAATTCTTTCTTATGCATAGTTTAATGATTGAGATTTCCAAAAATTGTATAAAAAAAAAATATAATTTTTTTTTGCATAAATAAAAATGACATTTTAATTAATAATAGCTTTTCAAATTTTTTTTTTTATTTAAAACACACGAGAAATTTGAATTTTTAATAAGATACTTATTTTTACAAAATATTTATTTGTTGACATATTCTAAAAATTGACATTTTTAGCTTCTAAATACATACATGAATCATTTATTTTGATCGATATTTATTTTTTTATTTATTGTTTATAACATTCATTTTTCGAGAAAATATTCAAATTTTTAAGAATTTGTTCTTCTCAAAATTATAACTACTTAAGTCAGGGATGAATCCATAAACTTTTCATGCGGGAAGACACAAAAAATTATTTAGACGTCGAAATACATTTTTTATTAATTATATTATTTAAATGACCTTTTTTCTGAATAAGTAACGATAGTTCAGAGAAAAGTTACGTGTCCTTTGCGCCTATCCTTTGACAGAAGCATACTAGGAGGCCAATTTGCCAGTGGTTACAAAATTACAACAGCTCGCTCTCTCCAAAAATAGAAGTAATAAGCAATAAAAAGGATCAAAAATACATTTTACAAATCGGAATTCGTTATTCATGGCAACCCAGAAAGTAAATGCTCACCATCGGAACCGCCCATTACTTTTAAGAGAATAACAGTTATTCTAATATAGTTACTATATTTTTTCTAAGTCTTTAATACATTAAATTAACTCTGTAAAAGTTTAAAATGTCTATATGTTATTATAATATGTTTTTATCTTTTATTAATGGAAAGAAAAAAGCACTTTAAGAATGAATATTTAAGATTAACTAATAAGATAACATTTGGATGACAATCTTATTTAGTATTATTTTATGAAAAAACAATTAAAGTTTGTTTTACTCAGTGTAAATGAATAATTTCTATAAAAACAGTTTGACCATTCTATCCTCAATATCATGCAAATAATTAAATTTAAATTTTACAAATATATTTAAGCTAATTAAGGAGTTAACTTTTTGTCATCACAAATTGCCGTTATCTGTAAGACTAGTTAGCGATCCATTAACACAAATCTATTAGAGGAATTTCCATCGATGCTTTCATAATAATTTTTATACTATTGTACAATAAACTATTTATAGAGTTCCTAGAGACTAGACAGGAAACTATCCAAATTAATAATTGTATTAACAGGAGCAAAAAATATCATTCAAAATTAATAACTCCTAATCTAAACAGTAAAACACACCAAATATTTAATGATGTGAAAGGGGGGAATTTTATCCTCTATTTTCACTATACTTTTTTATCATCATTTAAAGTTCAAAATATATTTAATAACAGTATAAGTTGCATGGGCGTTTTCATACAGAAAATATGGACGATTGACTTGACATGACATTTTATGGTGAAGATATTCTTTTGAGGGGATAGTAAAAATACTTCTTATGCTTATCCCTTCTACCCAGAAAAAACTTTGAAAACACCTCTGAGTATAAATTAACTTGTTTAGTTGATATATTCAGTTAGAAAAAATATGTAAAAAATATAATTTCACCTGAGTATGCTTATTTCTTATATGGATTGTGTAAAAAAAATATTTAACCTAATTTAAATTTGAGATTAAGTTCAAGAAAATCCAATTTTTAAATAATTCAATATAAGTTTTGATTTTAAAATGTTCTAATACGTTATTTATATTTTATACATCATGAAAAACTACCTGAAAAATAAATATGGATTATATTATGTGTAATGTAAGGTCGTTTGTTATATAATTAGAAATTTTTCATCAATTATAATAATTATTACATAATAAAGTAAGAAAATTGTTTTTAAAATGGTTATTATTCTTGTATTTTTGCGGTATTTTAACAAACATTTATAGAACTGGATCAACATGTTCAAACTCGTACTTTTAGAGTGTTAATCCGAGTGTAATTAAGACTTAAACGAAAAAATTAGTTAGGCATATTTATAACTGTAATATATTATTTTTCAGACACCATAATTAATCTACATAAAATTATCAGACTTGGGTAAAATGTTTTTTTACAAGTGTTCCTAATTCAATATTTTGAAAAAAGATTACTCTTGTTAAATATTTAAATATATGAAATAAATTCTAATTGGAATACATCACGAATACTTTGTGAGTATTTATGAACAATTTTTAAAATATTTATTATTAAAAAATAATTGACAATATTGATATTGTTAGAATTCAAAATATATGTGTTAAATTGTACCATTATACATGACTTAAAATCTTTATTTTAAGAATTATATTCTTTTAAATAAAGGACTTGAGCGGAGTTAAAAGGGGATTTATTCTTTAATTGTACAAATCTTAATCTAAGATTTATGATTAGATTTTGGTCTTTAAAATACTATTAAATAAAGAAGAAAGAATGTATAAAAAAAAAACTTTCAACAAATGTTTGTCTCTGATCTACTAAATATAAACATATTACATGGTAGAGTATAATCGTAATTGTAGTAAATATTACATAACAAATAAATTCAATGAATATAATTTTTTTCCTATTAAAATTTTTTTTCTTTGTCTTGAGTGTCATTTTCGCTATAGTAAAAACAAACTTAATTATTAATATTTATATTCATATGAAATATGATACGCTTATTAAAATTTAGTAGACATATATTTAATATTTACCTTTAAAGTTAATACAGAGTGATACATTTATCGTTGACCACTAAATTTCTTCTAAAACAATAATACTTTCAAGAAATTTTTTCCAGTTTATTTTTGTAGTATGTATCTCTTAATTCATAAGTAGTTAAATAAGTGATAAATCAATCACATTGTATAATAATTTTTTAATTATTCAACATCATGATTTTAAAAATAATAATGAATATTACTATTACTTATTAGGCAATAAAACATTTACATAGTCATGTAAACAATGTTGTGAATTATATGCATTTATCTATTTTGTACGAGTCATTTTAAAGGGTTCCAAGTTTGTATTACTTTGTCGTAGGATTATAAAGTAACACAGAAATATTTTACGTTTTAAGGGAATTAACCTCCTTAATCATCTTTAAGCCTACGACATCGGAAAAACATTATATTGATTTTTTAAGTCAATTAATAAAAACTTGTACTAGCTGAGAGTATATTCATATTAACTTAAAAAAAATTATAAATGCATATAATTCACAGTCCTGCTTATGAGTATTAGGATTTTTTTTAAAGTTAATAGATTGATCTAGGAAATAATATCGGTTATACACTTATGTTGTTTGAAATGTATAACAATGATTTCAGAAAATTTTGGTTACTTTATATATGAACAAATTAAATTAATATAATTATAGTTGTAATTTCGTACTTTTAAATTTATAACTAAATCAATGGAACTAAATTAGTCTCCAACACTCATTTTATGACTGTCGGGGACTTAAATGCTCTGGTATATTAAAACAATGTCTGTATACCTTGATTTATTGAATTGAGCGGTATCATGAAATTCAGTTTAAATAGTCTTACCAACGATAAATTAATTACAGTTCATTAAGCCTTCCATCATGGTTTCTCTTTTAAGGAATTTATGATTATGAAACATTTGTGTATACGGTCTGATTTCTGTCTTTTGAACATTTATAATACATTAAAATGTGTAGTAAAAACATCATTACCCACAGTATGTATGCCTAAAACGACGAAGTAATGTCGATTTACTTCACTGTCAATATCTGTCCTCGCGTTTGCTACTTGGTATTATGTGTGTATTGAAAGTGAAAAATTGAAAAGAAGCAGAAAGCAACGTGGTGCCATCGGCTCGCAGCAATGAACTTGATTAATATTTTTCCTTGATTCTTTGCGTGTCGGCAATGAATATTTATTGGTTTTACAATGCGAAAAACTGTGACAAAATTTAGCACGGATTTTAAGATTACTCGATTAATATTGCAATTATTGGGATTGCATTACAGTAAAACACGTATAATTATGTTTGCAATTACAAGTGCTTGTGTTAAAAATTATCATCGAAGCTATTTGATATAGTGTGAACATGTTTCCGCACAACAACAACAATTATATTATTATGTGCAAAAATACAATAATTAATGTTATGAAATAAAAAAACGATTATGTTTTTAATTCAAATTTAATTGAAGTGGGTGTACAATAATACTTGGACTTATCCAATTAGAATTGTACACATACAAAAAAACAATTACTACAATTAAAGACATTTTTACTGAGGAATAAGAGCAAATGTAATTAGAAGACAGGTGTGTTTTAATCTGAATCATTATGTACTATGAACTTTTATAACATAACCACGATAATTGTAATTTTGTTTTCCCCAAATCATGACTGACGGATACTGGTTATTATTAATGGCACCCGTGAGGAGATTGGCGTGAAGGTCGCTGGAAGTATTGCGGTAGCAGATTGGGTAGAACTCGTTAGATTAAAATTGCTAACCGTTTACAGTCCAACTCGCATTCTAACACTTAATGCCGGCCAGAGCACAGGCTATCGCGGCTGCCCTTTGCAATACGATTAGCTGCAACACTCCAAGTATTTATTTGTTTTTTGTAAAAGAGAAAAATTACGAGACTACTCGATTGGATTAAACAGTTATGGACGTCAAATCCGTTTCAATGTTGTCGGTTACTGCCGTTGTTGTCTTGATTCTGTCAGTGCTTTGTCAAACTGTGTTTTCCAAACCCGCATCAACAAAAGTCAGCAGGTTATGTAAGTATATACCAAATGTCTGAAAATATAAAATTATTTATGAATAATAATTTATAAAAAGTGACCTATGCAATATTTTTGGTCAATAAAAATTATCGTAGTACACGAATATTTTTTTAAATATAATCACATGACTGATATTTTTTTTTTCTGTTTTCTTTCGAATAGTATTATTGAAATTACCATCATATATTTTAGAGCCATATGAGAAAAAAATCAGTTTGTGTTCTCTTCTTAAGTTAATAAAAATTCACAAAAGTCTTATTTGACAAATAACTATTTATATGTACATAAATAAGTATGTTTCGATAAATATGCTTATACCAGTAGAGCTTAAAACTCTGCAAAAAATATCAACCATAATATTCAGAAGGAATAATTAAAATATATACGTGTTTACTGAAAAATTAATTTTATCTTGGTAATAATGGCTTAATTTTTTCAGCTAAATACGTTAAAATATGTAAAATCAATGATCCTCAATTTGATCCATGTGTGAATAATGCTATGAAGGATATTTTTAAATACGCTAAAACAGGTATGCAACATGATATTTGTATTATAGATCATCTTTATTTTTTTATTTTTAATCCTTGTTTTATTTGTATATTTATACTATAATTATTTGAAAAAATATTTTTTATGCAGGTATACCAGAAGCTAACATTCCTATAATGGAACCTTTTAAGATTCCAGAAATCGATTTATCCATATTCCAAGCACTCAGTCCTCAAATTCTCGGATCTCGCCAAAATGCAGACAAGTTCAGAGCATTTGCTCGAAATGTAATCATCCATCATGCTTCAGAACTTAAAATCAACCGTATTAAGTGAGTTATATAAACTAGTTTGGCATAGTAAACAATATTATATTGTAAAATTTATTTTAAAAAAATATTAGAACTGATATGAAGGAAAAAAAGTTTAACCTTAACCTCAACTTACCATTTTTGGACATAGTAGGAGAATACGACGTGAATTTAATACTATTTGGTCTACCTATCAAAAGTATTGGACCCCTCAAATCTAATGTCAGTAAGTATACAGATAAATCAAAAATAACATGGAACGTATGGTCCTAAAAATTTTAAGTCTTTGGATAAGTTTATAGTTTAATAATAAGTAAAAACTTGATTATTCATGAACAATTTTAGAATTATCCTAAGAATATAAAATTGTAACATAAAATAATTTAGAGAGGATTTCAATTAAAAATCTTATTGCAGATTGTAGAAAATTTATATTACATTAAACCAAGGTAACAGCATTTTTAAAATTTTATAAGATAGCTGCTAAATATCAAATAAAACAACTAAAAATGTCGAATCATAAAAATTTCCAGTTATAACATTTTTGGAGTAAAGTTCTATAGTTTAAATATATAAATGATAGTTTAATATTTAAATATTATATTAAATGTATAATATTTAAATGATTTAGAAAAAGTAAAACTTCAGTGTCTTTTGTTTTTATTATAAGTTAATAAAAAAAACCACATTTTTCTAATTTTTATTGTTTTGTATATAATTACGCATTTATAATAGAATCGAACAAATTTTTTTATACGTGGTAAACAAGTTATTTAATATTTTGTAATAATAAATGCAAAAATATTCAATAACTGTAATGACAATTTTTTAACAATATCCTTGTTTATTATTAGATATTTTATGTTTGTTGTTTATATATCAACGTTATTACCATAGGTATTGTTGAGTTTTTAATTTCATTTTTTAATTTATCCTTGATAAATTAAATAAGAAATTAAATAGACTGAATAGAAGTTCTAAATGTGTTTAAAAATACATAATTACTTTAGTACTAATAAAATTATTAAAATTTACATTATTTTATGATCAGTTTATTTTAATATATCTATTTTAATAATTTTGCTGCAGAATAACTTTTAAGTATATAAAACGTCTCGCTATGTGTCTAGGCAATATTATCTTTAATATTATCATCGTCAATTTATTATATTAACAAATATATTTACAGGATAATCGATTCTAATAAAATATTCCAAATTCATTATTTTAAATAAAAAATAACTTGACTTAAAAAAAAATTGAATTTATTTTTATAGCTGACACTAATGTTGAATGCACGTTAAAAGGGCAGCTAGTAACAAGAAAGAGTGACAAATATTTATTATTTGACAATATTGACATCAAAGTCGATTTTAAAGACTATAATATCATCATTGAAAACATTTTCAAGAAAGACCAAAATCTAAGTGAGTTGTGTATAAATTGTTTTTTTCTTTTAATAAATTAAGTACAGTTAATTTTCTACGAAAGTCATACTTTTAGGAGTATAATAATTTATTAATTTTTGTTGCACAGATCGAGCATTAAACGACATGATTAAAAGTCAAAAAATGGAACTTAAGAAATTAGTAATGCCTATGGTTGAAGAAATAGCAGGTAAAATGTTGCTGACTATGTTGAATCAAATAATAGGTAGTTTGCCATATACTGAATGGTTTATCGTTGATGAAGATTAGCATTTTTCCCCCTTAAACAGTGTTTGAGAACATGTTTTTCTTTTTTCCTCTTCTTGTCTTATCTATAATTTAAGTGACAAACGTATACCAAATTGTATTTTTTTATTTTTACAAAATCAAAACTATTATGGTTCGACTTAAGAATGTAACATTAATTGTAATTATAACATTCAAAATTGTGGCACGAAAACTCGAGACTATTGAAATAAGTTGATTTTCAATTACTATTAGTCTGGGAAAAGCTGTTCATAAGTGAAGAGCTTAGTTAGTTTATCGACAGTTTCCATCACTAACTTTTCAACTACTTTCTGAATTATCGGTCTCAGTTCCGTGAAAAACATAATGAAGTTGGAGTTAATGGCCGTATTAATAATTTCTCCTAAAGAAAACAATTAAAAAACAAAAATTGTATTAAAAAAAAAATACTATTTCAAACATTGTATAATGATGTTCAAAGTAATCTATCATTGTTTGTCAAATTTAAAAATTAAATTAAATTACCTATATACAGAAACTACTGATAGTAATTATATATTAGCTCATCTTACATAAAACTACAAGCGACCTTGACTGTGTAATTTTCGCTTGGCTTATTTTGTTTACGTGCAAAAGTCACCATTCCTAGTTTTTGGCACATGTATTAAAATCATTACTTAAATTATATGTTTGACTGATAATACTTAAGGAAGTATCCTATTTAAACTGAGTTGTCAGGTAATTACCTACCCATTATTATTCTTTTCGTTTCTGTGCCAATTGTTCACGAAACGATTATTAGAGAAGTTTGTGTATTTATTATTATGTTTTAATACATTTCAGATTAATTTTATCGTATTATAAGTTTATACTGTATTTTAATTGCATAAAACTGTATGAAATCGTTAAGGTTGTATTTTAAATGATTATGATACACTTATTAAAGTTATAGTTTTCATGTGTCGTATTCATTTATTTTTTCTTGATTTTTACCTAAATTTTTGTCTCCACCAAATAAATTTCTTAGCTCTATTCTTCCTCTGTCTATTCCTATCTTAACAGTTACATTATCAAATCGTATATAATTAAGTCCATCAATGTTTGTAATTTTTCCTAGCATAGATACATTACTTCTTACACCATCTAAATAAATAATTTGCCAATAAATATACTTATATTATTTTACATAGTCAATTTAAAGTATTTAGTTTATCCTACAGCTAATGATTATTTACCTTACAAGGAAAATGTTAGCTTAGCTATACAAAAGTCAACTGAAAGAAAAATGAAAAGGATATTTAGTTCAATTGGAAAAAAATGTGTTTTTGAATAAAATTTTTTTAAAAAATTAATGCAAACGACTCATTAGTAGTTCATATATTTGAAGCCAGATGATATTTATATTTTTTTTCAAACTGGAGATTTAGTCATTTTTCAAATGCCCAATAAAAAACTTCTTAATTTAATATATTGAGTTGTTATGTTTTTCCCCGACTAAGTGATATAATATTATGGAAATCAGATTTATATTTACATAGAATGAAGTGCAAAGAGAATTTTGCTTTCATATTCACAAAAAATATCGAAAAGTATCTAGAATTATTTTCTTAATCCTTCATAAATACATCGCCGTCTTTGTTTAATATGATCTCTAATATTTTAATATTAATTTCTTCATACTGGTTAGGTTAATAACGAGCATGACTCTCAAACCGATCCAAATCCTACAGCTTGATACACGTAAAAGAATCTATACAAAGTATTCATGAAGTAATTATCTAACAACACTGACCAATATCCAAATCAAAGTCGCCTTGTCCCTTTATGGCCATTCGAACGATTTTTCCATCCAAATTATAGTTTCCTAATATATGCATGTGAGGAAATTTAACTTGAAACTCATATTTCTGTCTTTTTATGTCGGCTCTATATTTAAAAAAAACACAGCCTAATCAAAAATAAATCTGATAGAATTAAAATCAAATTACCCACTCGAGATATGGTACTGTAAAATTACTAGCTCCTGTTACACGAAGGTTAGTAGTTTCTATTTTAATGTCACGTCCACCTGATGGTATAAGTAGGTCTATAACCATAGGATCCAGTGGCGCCAAATCAAACTCAGGAATCCCTAATTAATAAACAATGCAATGTTAAAAACATTTAAATTACATAACACTAAAAAAATTGAAGTATTCACCTTCAGCTATTTTATTTTTCAAGAAATAAGCCGAATCGATAATGCAATTACTTATGTTAATTTGAGATCGCCGGCATACGTGTAGGTAATCAGCTGTTATCAAAGAAAAACATATATATAACTATTTTATAGTTATTTAAAAAATGTAATTGAATAATTATAGCGACTCAAATGATAGTTTTTTTTTATAACGCTATATTTTATTTATATGGAACACTTACGTAATGACTTGAATTCCGAATTGACGACATCATAACTAAGTAATATGGTAATCACAGAACTAAGGTAAAAATTCGTCATACTTCCCAAAGATAGAAGTTTCCAGGAAAAATAGCCTTCCGTAATGTGTTAAAGAAACATTACTACATCTTAATGCTAACTATTAATATGATGTTTTTCTATTTTATATGCAACCCCAGTTTTGATGGTTAAGGACATTTATAATTGTGGTCTAATTTGATTATATAAAAGCATTAGGATCCATAACCGCGTATTAAATAAAAATGAATCATATAATTTATTGTTTCTTAAGCTCATATAATAACACACACAGAACAAAATAAATAACAACTAAATTGCATAAGGTCGACGTAAAGGATATAATTTAAACATAAAATATTAACTTCGTCTATTTATTGGCTGTTAGCAACACAATTAGAAAATATTAACTTCATAAATATTTAAATTCAGATATTATATGCGCACAAAATTTTAAATTACTATTCGTTGTTAATTTTTTAAACATCTAGAATATAACCTTTTGTATTTTTTTAGAAATTTAAGAATTTTAAAGAAAAAAAAAGAGATATCTTCTCCGCACAGTTTTATGCCTTCTAAACTACAAATAGGAAGTTTGTTTGTAGAGTATTAACAAAAGTAAACAAACTGACATATATTTTATAAAATAGTCTAAACAAATTAAATTATCCTTAAATTTCTTTTTCATTTTAAGACTATAACTATCAACAAGAGATATTGTTAATAAGTCATTGTCATAAATGTTATTTTAATAATATATTTTGGATATGTTGAAAGTTGCAATCACCAAGTTTTAGAGTAATGAAAACAAATTTCATTTTTGTATTGTCGAATAAATAGCGGAAAAGATATTTTATTTTCAAATAAAACAAATTCACCGTAACCTTGTATTATAAAAATTGACTTATTATGTCTTTCAAATGATTGATTAATTTACAGTTGTAAAATTTAAATAATAAAAAATTCTTCAACTATTTAATTTTTACTACAAATGAGTAACCAAAATTTTTGAAGTTATGAAAAATATTTAATAATTTATTTCAGACATTAAATAATATACGGATTATATTTTTATAATATCTTTATATATTGGTTTGTTAATTAATATTTATAGTATATTATTCATACTAAATATACTTTATTGGATTTTGAAGAGAATAGGTATAAAACTCCATATTATTAAAACCTAACCCTTAAAGCATTTTGCCAGTTCTTTACTTAGTCCATCATAATTTAGAGGAAAATTTGATTTATATTATTTATATTTGATAACTAAAAGTATAAATTGTAATTTTTAATTCGATAATTACAATAATTACGCCAGTTAACCCATTTAAATAATTGATATATCTAAATTTAGACAATTATATAAATAAAACGTACGGGATAAAAATTTCAACCTTGGCCTAGGTCACTCACTCATTCACATCTTTATAAAAAATACTACTTATATATACATAAATCTTTGTGTTGAATTTCATTAATTTATAAAATATAAATAATTATTCGTGCAAATTTAAAACAACATAATTAATAATATTTGTATAATATGCCTAACCTTACTGTTTATTATACAAGTCTATAAAGTATTATTGTTATAAACAAACTCTTGACTAAAATTCAATCACAGGATAAGGTAAACAAATAAAGAAAGGTCAATAATCCTGAAGTTATTGACATATAACCTATAAACTACCAAAATTTTTTTAAAATAAACTATATTCCTGAGAATATTGATTAATTAAATTAATTAATTGAAATAAAATATACACAGTTTTATTAAATTAATTATTATTCTTATTATTATATTAAACGTGTAAAAAATACCTAACAACATATGAGTTTAAGCAAACTGAATTTTGGAAGATCTCTGAATTCTGAGTGTATATCAATTAATCAATTTTAAACAATGCCATATTAAAATTAAATTTTAGCTGGAATAAACTTATTTTCTAAATTATAATCGTATTAAACATTTTTGTCCCCTACAAATTATTTAAAAGAAAACAGTATAAATATAACTCGATATCTTAGTGATAACTCATATCGAATTACCCGATAAAATCATAAAATGTTATTCTGAAAATTCTATGATCTAATTTAACGTTTTAAGTTATAAAAATCATGAAGATATTTTAATAAAGAAATCATTTTCAATGTCAGGTGGATTAAATTATTTTAAATATGAAAAACAAAAATTTTTTAAGCTTTATAATTTAAAGGGTAGTTAAGATATCAATTTTATAATTGATAATTCTTTATATAGTAGTAAAAATGGTGAAGCTGAAAATAAAACAGATATAGGAAGGACACGGCATACACGATATCATTTTAAATCTGATAGTGATTAAAATCAATATCGTAAAACAATATTATACAATTGTGCTTAAAGAAAGTTCGATTATTCTAACCTTCGTTAGTTAGTTAATTGCAATTTTAGTATGATTAACAACACTTAAATTTTATCTAATTTCTTCTATTTAAATGTTTTTACTGTTTGGTCTTAAATATTTGAATAACATTAAGTTTACTCAGACAAAAAACATTTAAGCTGAACTTTAGATAAATGAGAGGTTTATAAGACATCAATTAGGTTATTGAAATTTATAGCCCTCATATAAATTAAAGTGATTTTTAACATTACGCCCTTATGAACTATTTTTCAATAAGTATTTAAATATTTAACTAGTAGTAAAAACTGAAATTAAAAAACTTACTTTTTTGTTTTAGCCAATTAAAATATTAGTCACATGTTAGAAATGATATTTTATTTAAAACACATAAACAAAAACTCTAGGATGCTACTCAGAATATTTATTTTATTATTAGGTACATTCTTTATGGTCTAAACTTAAGACCAACGTACAGGTTCGCGTACGGGTTACATTGAGAATAATGATGCAACGAAAGAATATCTTTCGGATATAATCTTAGTAACAAAAATTTTATTGTGGATAATGTCCAACCAATTATTATAGAAGAATATAGTCTTAAAAAATAGTACTAAACAATTATTTAAAGAATATTAATAACTTTAAAAATTTAAGAATATTTAAATAAACATCAAACATATTTAAATTATAGAATAAATTGAAAATTTATAATGAAAAAATAATTTTTTTTTAATTGGTAGTACATACAATTTGTGTAAATTTGCGTAGAGCCATCAAGTATAATTTTTTTTCTTAATATAATAAATAATTAACTCTAAAGTATTTGTAAACTCGAAAACATAAAATTGGATAATTGTTTAACCTTAACGACTTTTTTTTATTAAAAAAAATAATTAATTTTAACAGTTATCCTATTATAGACAAATAATGTTGCATTTTTCAAAAAAAATTGTTGCGCAATGAAACTTAAAAAAATATATATAAAATACTAAAATGTTTTTTTTTTATATTATTTTAAAACTATTTTTAATAATTTTAAAAAATAACACAGATTGAAAATTGTTTGAAATAGAGAACTTTGAAAAATAAATGTCTTAGAAAATAATGATACGCCTCTCTTTCTTATTATTCTGGGCTCAAGTGTGTTTCAAAGATTTTGAACAAACTATTTTATATGTTTTATTATATATATCAACATTGAAATTTTCATTTATAAAATGAATAAAAAAGTGTATAGTATGTGAAAAAAATTTTGCTATGTACATCTTCCAACCACATAATTAATCATATTTGTTTCTCTGATAAAGAATATTTCATTACCAGGGGAAAACTGATGAAGATTAATCAAATATTATATTTAAACACAGTTAAATATAAATATTATATCATATCAACACTTGTAAAAATTGTACTGTGTTGTAGGTTGTTAAGACTAAAATTATAAGACATTTAACAGCCCCAAGTTGATCCTTTTCACTGTACTAAATATTAAGTCATATTACTTATTAAGAAACATTAACAATTTATTATAACGTAATGTTTACAAAACTTTGTTAAACACTCAAATATTTAAATGGCCATATAAAAAGAAGATCATATCAAATGAACATGTGCTATATCTATATCTGTATGTACTATACTTAAATCTAAGTATACTACAATTTAGGTCTACAATCTAAACCGTTGTATGTGTTTGTGGTTTAGGTTTCGATTTCGAGTCAGGGTTTTCAAAAATGGTTTCGGTTACATTTTTAAAAACCGGTTTTGTATTGTATGCGTTTTTGGTTTCGGTTAGAAAAACCAGAAAGAATAGGTTTTAACTAATTATAACCGGTTTTTTTAACAGCTCAAGTCCCTAATTAAATCAGTACTTCTAAGACATTATGACTTCATAATTTTGATGTTATTAATAATTAATAAAATTATTGAGGAAATTAAATGCGAACAACAACAATTTTATGACGTGTATGATGTTATATTTACAAAAAAAGAATACTTAGAAAACACAAAAGCAATACAATTCTTCTACGTCATATGATCACGTTAAAATAAGGAACATAAAAATTAATTTGAAAAAATTAACAACTGACCATAACATAATTACACATTAGCACATTGTTAATAAATACACAAGATTTATTATAAATAATTTATCAAAACTTTTTGTACATTTGTCAAAAAGAGTAAAAAAGTATATTATTATAAATATTTAAAGTTCAGTTCAAACATTTTTTTTATTGAAAATAAATATGTTTTTTCTCTATTTTCATTTTGCTCGTTGATATTTTATAAATAAATATATATAAAAAAAAGAAACAAAAAAAATTGCACTTGTAGTTTATATGTGTTTCTCTTGGTCTGAAGCAAATTCATAAGATATAATTAGTTATGTTTCTAACACACGCATTCACGATGTCACATTTCAGTCAGATGCTAAACAGTAAAGTCTAATCAAATGGTTTATTCAATGATCCAACTGTCATATGGTACTTTGCTAAACAAGTTGTCAAGGAACGACTTCATGTTTGTCATGAGCTTTTTTTTGATATGTGGTTTCATTTCTTTCAATAATTCTTGCGAGTTGGAGTTTATGAATAAGTTCAACGCGGCTTCTGTAGAAGAATAAAACAATAGTTGAAGAAACGTTCGGAAAATAAAGGCGTTTAATTTCAAGAAAATTCAATTCATATTTGTATTACCTAAAACGGCGTTTCCATTGTGAACGTTAGTTATTCCCATTTGAATGTCTTTAACGCTAAAGTCCATTTTTAAGTCTTCTAATTGTAAAAATCTTTGTTCATCGCGTTCTATTTCACTAGCTCTGATGTATACTTTTGCTTTGACACCCTCTGAATAAAACAATAACAATAATTAACAGACACATAAGATTATTTTAAAACAATATTTTTATAATTACCGTATTCGCCCCAATATTCACCACCACCGGTAGCTTGGACCATAATTAAAACTCCTGAACTTCTATAGTGAGCGGTAGCTGATATTTTTGGGATCGAAAATGTAAGTTGAAACTGCAATGAGTTGAGGTCTGACCTATAATAAGTTAAACAGATATTAACAAAAGATGTTTTCATCGTCATTTATCAGCATTTTTTTAAGAAAGACAAAAAAAATAACAAATTTCAAAAGTAATTTTATGTAATGTGTCATTAATAGTAACGTTTACACGGCATTGAAACCTATTCAAAAATTAGCTTTTAATTTTGTAACGGTTTGGAATAAATTTAAATAAGTAAGGATTTCTGAGTAGGCAACTAAATCGACAATAAAATACATGTCCGTCATGATGCGTATGTCGTCGCAAAAATGAGAAAAGGGTACCAGGAATTCAGAAGGTAAATGTTATTTTCTTATTAGATTTTTGTGTTTTACAACGAGTAAATCAAGAAAAGTTGAAAAATAGTACCAGGAACTCAGAAGAAATTTGTTCAAAATTAGAGTGTCTCGAAAAATGTACCGTTAGTTGGTATCCAGCCGGCCATTAAATTTATATTGGCATAGTCGCGCAATAGCCTATCGCTGTATGCTTGAGCGGTAAAAGGTAAGTCCGCCGTCACAAAGTTAGCAACGCACTTTGTAAAAAGTTTGAGCTTATACCATAATGTCAGTCAGTAACGCATGTAGGTGATCATGACGCTTAACGACTTCGTGAAAGTTTACCGGTTGCATTCTTTCGCTTGTCGCAATATGACGCTGATCAATACTAAACATAATTTCTTGTTGTATTTGTATACGTACCTGACTTGATTAACTGTCAAGTTGCTCACACCGTACGCTTGGATGTCTTTGAACGTTGCTCGGTATCCGTCTGGGCCTGTTCCTAGCGCCAAATTAATTTCATCGATTACAATTGGCTCGACGTTTTCAATGCCCAACTCAGGAATGCCTAAAAATAATATAATTTAAACGTGTCAACGCCAATGGAATAAAATTAAACCACTTTAAAACATTTTTGTTATTTTGCTAACAAGTTTATATGAAATTATTAATACTTGGTGTCAATGTTGGTAATAGGTAAGGTGACTTTAAAAATATTGGTACATCCAATGGGGTTAATAGATGTTTATTACAGACATATTTTTTATTCAATAATAGTGGCAAAAATTATTCCCTATGGTTGATTTTTTTTTTATTTTATTGGAATAGTAAAATGCCACTAAAATAACTATTGTGTGATCGGTTATGTGTACACTTATTAACTTTTCCAACATTGACATAAAATAAACAACATTGTTTTAACGATGTAGTAGCCAATTAGAAAACAAAAAATGTGCCTAATAATTAATTTTAATAGTTAATTCGTTTCATTTACACAAGTTTCACTTCGTAAACACACACAAAATAGTGTTAATTTTCCGGTTGTGTGAAAGTTTACGAGTGATATTCCGGCAACTATTATAATTATGTGGGCACTTAAATTATTCGCCTTATATGTTATTACAATTGTATACAAAACGAAAGACAAAGAAACACTCTCTGAAATTTTACACACACAACGTTTTGCAATACGAATAACAAAATTTTGGCTCTTACTATTACCTAGAAATAGTGACTATTATTAATTATTATGTCACTATTATTAATTAATCATTATATACATCATTATGTTCCAGGATGGAACAGATCCAACTGACAACTAATATAACTTATGATCTATATAACGTTTTATAATTTTTTTAATATTCATTTTTAAGTACAAGTGTATATTTAAAATTTGTTTTATGTTATTTGTCGCTATTATAATTAATATAAAAACAATTTTTTTCTAAGATTTGAACATAGCCATTTGTGGATAAGTTTCAATGAAAAAATTTGACATTAAAAACTCTTATTTTAATTTCAGTAGTTATGTTTCTACAGCATTTTGAAATTTGGATTTTTTTATGATTTTTCTATGGTATCAAATGTAAGTCCAAATGTATATCTTTAAGTTATTTACTGGCAACAGTATGCGATTTCTTTTCCATGAAAAATAGTAACATTTGAACGATCATTTGTAATCAACGTGAAACACAACAAGCAGTAAAATTAAGTTTATAAAAAAAAATTATAGAAACGTTATCTAAAACATATTGAATTTTTAATTGAATAGATTCATGTTTTATAAATCAATTAAGAAATATCCTATAATATGATATTAATGATAAAATCATTTTTCTTTAAAACTTATCCATAAAGTGACTATTTTCAAATCTCAAAAAAATTATTTTTCTGATTATTTTTATAATTGTGAAAAATAACAAAACTTTTTTAAATATAATCCTATAGTGTAAATCGATTAAAAAAGTATAAAATGTTATGTCGATCATAAATTATATGAGTTGTCAGTTAGATCTGTTGTATATATATATATATATATATAATTTTGATAATTATTTAATTAATTATGAATTGTAATTTTTTAAATACCTTTTCTGAAATTCATTGCCAAATGGTTTGCAGCATATGTCAAACATTCGTTAACATTTGGACTATTTTTCTCGCATGGATGAATGTAGTAAGCTACAAGTCAAATCAAACGCTTTTATTATCGGTTTATTATTAGTTGTTTAATAAGTAAAACTGTTTTAATAGATTATTAAAAATATTATGAGCCACTCATTGAATTTAATGTAGAATGACATGAATCAATAATAAGAAATTAAAAAAGTAATTTAATGTTCCAGTAATAATTATGAATTTAATATTATTAACGTAGCTATTCTTAGATATAAAATGAATTGATTTTTCATGGCCAATCTATTTATAATATGTGGATGGGTAACAGTAAATTAGAATCATAACTAATCATTAGTATTTTTATTAGATTGTTATTCTACCGTGATCAATCGACATTAAACAACCTTCTAATTCAATAAAATTTGTTCCTGTTTTTTCAATATTTATTGAAAATTATGTTTATTAATGAGTTTGTGTTATAATGGTTATGTTTACTAACTACACTTTGCAACAAGTCAAATCCAAATAAGAAAAGGAAGCATGCATTTCATAAGAGTGATGTAATAAATTTACTTATTATTCATTTAAAAATATATCAATAAATAAAAAATATTTCCTTATTTATTAATTGACAAGTACTTCCCAAAAGTATTTATAATGTAATGTATTTTGAAGAACAAAATAAAATTTGTAGATTTATTAAATTTTTATAATGATAAAAAATTTCGTATGACTTGAATAATTAACAACTATTTTAAGAACTTTTAACGTATGAAAGTAAAATTTGTAAATAATTACCAATATCATGTTGTTGTTGTCTGGCATGTGAAATAGCGGAGAGGCATAACGTGGCTACTACCAAATAAAAAATGGAATACATCTCTAAAAAAAAAAAGTTTAATTACAAAATCTAAGTATAATTTCTAATCGGATTACTTCTAGAATTAACACGTTTTAGATAATAAAAAAAAACTCATGTGTTTTATGAATAAACAGTCAAAATTAGAATTGCAATACTATCTTCAGACTACAAATACATAAATCTAGTCATTTTTTTTAACAGTTTTATGTATTTTTACGTTTACAGGTTACTTTTATTTTATAGGTCCAATTTATTTCCCTAAATAAATTCAATCAATAACAAGACAAAAGAATATTTGATATGTAATTATTTTTGCATTAACAGGTTTTTAAATGTATTCACTGTATAACACCTTAAAGCATTATTTAATAAGACAAAATTATTTTTCACATCTATATTGACTTTTAAACTATTTTCAATCTATGGCGAATTATACAAAACCAAAATGCAAATCGATTAACGTGTCTTTAAACATAATCGCAACCATAATTATGAAAGAAAATAAATTATAAAGACTACTTAACAATCTAATATTAACAGTTACTATTCCATTAAAATAGTGATCTAATTGTAAAAGTACTTTTATAATTAAACTACTAGTATTTCTTCTAAGAAAATTTTAAATGACTAAAATTCACTAAATTAACTCGCCAATTATTAGATATATATTATATGTGATAGCAGTAATTTCAAACAGACTGTTTTGACATTCAAATAGAAGATTTGAATAAAAAATCAAGTTCACTGTACGCTATTAAAACAAGATAAATGCCGATTTATCATCCGCAACAAATGCAGAATACTTTCTCCGTTAACTACGAACGAGGAATACGAATATTATTTTACTTGAAGTTTGTATTAATATTTTACATGTAATACAAACACACGATAGTTAAAAATCATTTTTACGATCACTAGACTTGTAGCTTTACTAAGTAAAAAAAAAAATATTACCTATATCTATCGTAGTAAAAGTAAATAAAGACTAAAACTCAACGAAAAATATAGTATGACTGAAAATAAACGACTTTGAATATTTTAATGTCAATAATGTAACTGTTTTTATTTATATATATATATATATATTTAATGAGGTCAGACCTAATTTGTAATGCTGTCGCACATCATCTATGTATATCTGAGACCTAAATATTTGTGGTTAGATATTGTCAAGCCGAAGAAAAAATATTCTTTAAAATGTACATAATGACAAGTTATTTAAATCTTTACATACTATTATTGTTTTACTAAACTTAAGCCGTCGTTATATGACGTGTAAGTCACGAGGGCTACGGTCGATAGAACGAGCAAGTACCGTTATTTTTAAATTTTTGTAAAAAATTTATTTTTAGAAATTTGAAAATGCGAGATAGTGAAATTATACTTGAAAATAAAATCAGGTAAGTTAAATGTAAATATATATTTTTTTAATACATACTTAGTTGTGACAGTAGTGTGTCGTTGTTTTGATGTGTCCGTCGTATGTTCGTCTGAACTTGACTGCAACAAAAGATGTTCTATGTACTCTTTTTAATAACTTGGCTCCGGCAAAGACAGCGCTATATGCCCGTTGGGGGAGATCCAACGTTGATCCTCAGAAGACCGGTTCTAGTCCGTACTTTTTGCCCCCTCTTTCTAATGAAATCGATTTTTGTCGCAGTACAAGCATATTATTACCATCTATGTTTTATTTACAGTGCTCTCCATAGCTCCATAAACTACACCAAAAGTAACTGTATAGAAATTTCCTAAGGCCAAAATTAGTACGAGCTATTAAAAACCAATAATTAAGCAATCTATTTAACGCCTTATCACGATCGATTAATCACGATTTATAGATTCACTACTAGTATACATGACTTCAGAGAAAGTAGCCTAGGTGTGATACACATCTTCTAATATTAAACTAAATATTATCTAGTTTGATGTTTTTCCATAGGCAAAATTTTCAAGGTATAGAAACAGTTTTCTTGATTAAATACTCGAGTGTGATTTTTTCAGGTATTGATACAAACCACAGTTAATATTGTGTTTTTATAAAAAATATATAGAGTATCCAGTAAGTAAATAAACGGGTCAATTGTTACAACAATGAAAACAATAGAAACCCGTTACCTTACTTACTGGATACTCTATATATTTTTCGGTGTACAAAGTAAACATTAAAAAATCTGGTTTCACGACTAAAAAAAGGCAATTCTTAAACATTTCACAGAATTTAGAAATTACAATTAATGTGTCTAAAATTAACACAGTTTTAATGCGAGTCATATTTGTCTGAATCAAACGTAAATACCTCTAAATGCAGCCCTATTAATTTATTTATTAATTAAGCAACTTAATAAATGGTTAAGATCAAATGATGAGACAAAATTCACAAAAAGATTTAAAAAACCAAGCACAGTAGATGTCACATTTGGGTCAAGTAATCGATTCTTTCTGTCAGTAATTAAAATCACTGTAATAAAAAACGTTTCGATGCAAATCTATAGATTGTGTTCAATTTTTAAATGAAATTAATGGATTATTCTTAAAGCAACATCAACTTTTATTTTCTTATTTATATTCTGATTACTAGTTTTATGATTAATAAATATAATTCATTATTATAGAAATAAAATTTATTATGAAATTAATATTCAATAGTTTGTATTGTATTTTTTATGAAGAAATTATAAAATATAATAAAATTATTATATGTTACATTATCTAGTTTGTAAGCGTAAATCAAAAATTAAAGTATAGATTTATTAAAAAAAGAAAAGAAAGTTAACTGATTGTGAGGTCTTTCGTTAGTTAATTATTAATTCGGTTATGAAATTAGAATTATCATTAACCATAAGTCATTGGTAATTGGAATATTTTGTTGTAAGGGTATCTTCTTCTTTTTAATATACTTATAGTATTGATACTAAAAACTGCAAAAATTCTTCATAAATATATTTTTAACTATATTTATAAACATTTAAAAAAAAATTAAGTGTTATAGTTGAAATTTATTTTAATTATAAAGTATAAAATGGAAAATTTTAACACAAAAATATAATATTTTTTAACTACGGCGGCCATTTGCATATAAAAGATCATTTTCCAGGACAAATTTTTTTTAACATATAGTAACATAAACTTTAATTTAACATATGTTTGTACATTGAAATATTTTCAGGACATTTTCAAAAGTTGAAAATGTTAACTTTTCATGATAATCTTGCTATTTTGAATACCACTTATAGCGAGGTAAAGGGTCAGATTTTCAAAAAAAATGAACCCAATAAAAAGGAATACTTAATGTATTTATAAAAATATAAATTTTATTCGTTCACTTTTAAAAATGTTCTATATTTCTCATAAAAAAGTATTAAGATGTAAAATGAAATTTACCGATTTAATAAATCTTAATTTTTGGTAGATTTCGCCGATTTACAGAAGACAATGGTATTTTTGAAAATAATTTCTTCAACTAGATACGAATTGTAATCTTTTGACATAACATTGAAAGAATTCAGTCTAGTGAGACCTGAGAAAAAGTAATGACAGATGCAAAAAAATAATAAATACATACACACATCATAGTATATATATTTTCACACCAATAATAATAATTNAAAGAATTCAGTCTAGTGAGACCTGAGAAAAAGTAATGACAGATGCAAAAAAATAATAAATACATACACACATCATAGTATATGTATTTTCACACCAATAATAATACAACAACTTTCTATATGTAGAACAAATAAAGTGTTTCATCTCCCAAACATATACCATTAATTCATCCTGTTTTAGTAGTTTAAAAATCATGATACATATCAAAGACAAATCTGAATTTAGCCACAGTTATAAAATAATTTTATTATAACCATTATAAATTATCAAAATTGTTTAGTACCAATCTTTAGGATAGATAAATAAACTCGCTGATAAATATCCGATAAATTCCTAAAATATTTACATACCCCTTTAGTATATTTATTCAGCGCATTACTACCTTTAATACGTTTATACAGTGCTAATAATTATTAGGTTAAATTATAAATTATAGTAGAAACTAATTATTTTACAATATCTCACATAAGTTTTAATGTTTTTTATTCTTTTAACCTTAACCCGATATTTGGGAATTTATACAGTTATCAAAACAATGCTGTTTGTTTAATTTGATTTCAAAAATAATTATTTTACTAATGACTTTAAAAAATAGTCGTTTGACAACCAAAGAATTTTAATAAAAAGATTTTTATATTTATATATCTCTAGTGCCTAGTTAAATCTTTTATCAAGGCCAAGAGTTTTCTTGGTAATGATTTGATGACAATATTTTTAAATATTATTTAAAGAACTAATACAAAGTATTAACACGTGCTAAAAATTAAAAATACTGCTAATATTGTTTACACTAGACATGTAAATTTTAAACGAACGATACCTTGTTCTTGAATTTCACATGATGGTGTGATAAAAAAACTTCAGATGAGACTGTGTTGAATTTATTTACGGGTGAAGAATGTAGGTAAACATTCAAGTTCAAGGTCTTCGACATTGTTGTATTTTTATGATTATGATTTAGTATCTATTGTCCTAAGAGGCACGCTGTTAAAACACAAAAATACGGCCGTCATTAATTTATTTTAAGCATTTTCGATAGCGAAAGTATAATACATTTATTTTTTTTTTCGTGGTAAATTGAATAAATAACTTGAGTCATACACTCAATCTCATACAGATTTAAAAATTCAGATTAAAATAATTCTTTTAATTATCCATTTGTGTTTGCATCATTACTTTTTTAATAATATCAAAAATAAATGAACAATATGCTCTATTTTTACATGTTAAATTTGTAAACTTATACAAATAAAAAATTCTAATTTTTTAAGATAATAACTTTAATTGTTTAAGAAATGAATACATTTTTTTAATTCTCTTGTGCTATTGATTTGTTATAATATAATACGCACATATTTGTTATATGTTGACCATTCATACATCAAATACGCTTTGTTCATTTAAAATTTCTAGAATGTTAATAAAAGACTAATCGTGTAGCAACTTAGTAGTCATAAATGGATTTAGAAAATAGAACAATTGAAGGTCGATATAGAGTTTAATTTGGTTTAGAAGACGATCCTTGGGATAAAATCAAACGCAGTAGCATTTTGAATTCTTAATTAACTTTGTTGATGCATTGTATTAACTTAGGTCGACTCATTCAGATCTTAACAGCAAGAATGTGTGCGTAGAATATTCCTGTACATTTTTTTAAAATATAAGTATTATTATTTTTTAGTAGCTTAACTTAAATATTGGTTCAAATAAATATAACAATTTTATTTAGTTCCTTTAACTTATCTATTACTATTTTTTATAAATTACGCTGTAATTATACCTTGTTTTTATACATAAATATTTTCCAAGAATGTTTTCGCATACTATCAAAATAATTATCAATAATAAATTTAATTGTACTGAAAATGAAAGCTAAATAGTAAAATATTTTTTGCTCATCAAACAAATATTCTGCATCACTTTTGTTTACATATTTGGAAAACTATTGATAATTATTTAATGGTCGAAAACAGCAAAACCCAAACCCAATCAAATTATTGTGAAGCTCAATAGAGGTTTTGGTAAAGAAATATGTTATTATAATAATACATTTCATTTTATTTATTACCGCACTCGCATTTGTATTAAAATCTTTAAACGTAAAATATTTTTTACATAAATGTCATGTATGAAAAATTATGTTATATTTTTATAATTAAATAGTAGAAAAATTTGTAAGGAATAATACATATATGTATTAGTTAAAACAATACTAATATCAGTTTTTGTTTTTGAAGATCAACATTTGTTATTAATTGAATTTTTATTTATATTTGTCAAAGTATTTTTTTTTTTTTTTGATCAATACAAATACTATTTGAGTTAAGCAATTTCCCCTCGACCTATACTGTTTCAAGGTTGTGAGATTGTCGAATATTTTTAGTATTCATTTTTAATACTCAATCAGCAATAGTAAAATTTATTTTATTATACTTAAAGCAAATTAGTATTTTTTTAAATAATGGAAATTTAATGGTATCAATTTAAATGAAAGTCCATTCATCTAAAAGCATAATTAATAAGTAAATAATACTTAGTATTTCAGCTAATTTTTCTCCAGGATTTTGTTAAACATTACTCCATAGAATACCATAATTTTACTCCAATTGCATTTTGACTTTAGGGTCGATTTGTTCACAGATATATTGCTTTATCAAAAATTTATTACTATTTTCACCAGTCAATAAAAAAAAAAGTAATTGTCATTAAAAAAACGTTACAATTACAGAGGTTCAAACTATTACATATAATGATGAGTTGCCGTCCTTGGCTGAACTATATATAAATATAAAATGTATAGGTTTATAGTCTGTACGAGGTGTTTGTATGCGAATATTGTTGTTATTGTCACCTAAGAGATAGCGATCTCTTGTATTAGAGACGGGGCCAACGGCCGTCGTCGTTTTCTTTAAATCAATTCGCCAAACCAAACCGAATGTATATAATGTTGTGATAGTTGCGGTACACCAGTAAATGAAATAACACGTTTGCTGACGTCTATAGACCGTTTAAATATAAATAATAAAAAAGCATACATATCACCAACAAATTTAGGGTTGTGACCTGCATAAATATCCAACTCGTACGTGAGGCAACTCATAGAGGTGTTATTTCGTCAAATTACAGAAAATTTCTTGAACTTTTTCCTTTGGAATTCATTTGAGTTGTTATTTATATAGTTGTTACTGATATTCATAAACGCTTAAACTGCTATAAAATACTTCCTCGAACATATCCTTTAACGAAAATAAAAACAATGTTATTTAAAAACTTTTTCGTTCTTGAGAGGCGTATTGATTAATCACTAATTGTGGATATTTAAGGTTTACATGAGTACCACATGTGGAAGTCGAGTAAACACAACACAAAAGGATCTGGTTAGAGTATTGATTTTTAGCAGAAAATCCTAACGATTCATAAATCAAAAGTCGATTCAATTTATACGAAGTTTGAAGATATCATAAAATTGTTATATGGTCCCAATAAAATAAAATCATATTGATTAAATCGCTTTCGAAATTGTTTTCACAGTCAATTTTTAATCATCTACCATAGTTTTTGCTTTTGCCTAAAAATTCACCCGTAGTCCGATATTTTTAAGTAGAGACTTCATTAATATTAAGCAACGTTACGTTCACACGTCAAATTTCACAATAATATTAAAACAATGTTAGTACTTCATTCACATCAGTCGCATACATGTGTTGACTTACTACGTTACAATATTCTACGGAGACCTCCTAATGGTCATGCATACTCAATGTAAAAATAAACGTTTGATGTCAGCCAGTAGTGACGCACGAATTAACCACCGCTGAATTTGAATTAGTGGTGTCCATGTAACGTGTTCATACATAAATAATAACAATAAATATTATGTTTACAATAAATTTGGAGTGACTCTGTTGAAAGCCTCAATAAGATTAAATACTTACAATCGATATAATTTATTCTCGATGTAAAACATTTAAGTTTAACAACATTCTATATTTATAATATTAGACATTTCTATTTAGAAATTTTATAAATAATAACGTAAGAACGATTAAAATTTAATGATACGTTACAAAATGTAAAATGTCTGACTTTTTTTTACTTGAATTTGTTAGTTAGTAGCTAGTAATTTCTGATTAAACATTGAGGCTTTCCCCATTAATAACCTTAAATGAACAAAAATAAATTTTACACAATCTTTTGAGCCCTACGATTATTTATCTTAATCGTATTATTTCTATTGTATCATGATTGAGGAATTAATTATTTTATCATTCAATTATAATACATCATTTTTAATGCTTACTATGTTTCTTAAATTATAAATCCAATAGAAAATTCAATGCTCTTTTATGTGTAATATTTATGTAATACAGAATTTTAGGGACTTATTAAACTAATCGCTAAAAATCAATTTATAAATGTTTAAAATAAAATAATTTTTAAGTTCACTTCTTCTAATTCATATTCTGTCCATCTCCAACGCTTATTTCTCGATTCGTATAATGCGTACTACGAATTTCATCATTTAGTTTCATTTTATAATAAGACTAAATTTATTACAGTCATTCGTTAAAAAATTTAAATCTAAATCCATTATGTACATAGGACATAACTAATTGGTGGTAATATACAAAGTCAGAGTTGCTGGATCATTGTTTACAAACTAGTTGATTTTGAAATTTTTAGACATAGGGAAGACCAGCTGCTAAGAATGATTTGATTGGATAGGAAGAATGTCAGCGGTTCATATAACGGTGAATAAAGGAGGGCAATCAACTTATTTTAATACATATTATTTCGACTGTTTTCATGGACAAAATAAACAAAAAAGTTTTTTAGTCATTTAATTATATTTATTATTAATTTTTTTTTATAAAGAATGTAAAGTAATATATTACTTTAAAAAATTTTATAATCAATAAACAGCTGTCAAATATTAAATTTCGTAACTTATTTTTTCCTTAATCATAAAATAAAAATGAATCAAAAAATAGATTTATATTAATCAAATATTTTCTCAGAATAACGATTTTGTTATAAAAGTAAAAGTATAAATTCTATTTTACCTTATTTTCTTTTTCAGTTTTAAAATGTCAAACAATTAATAATATTTTTCAATAAACTTTTTTGCTCTAAAAGTCCTAATGACAACATGTTTTTCGTTAAAATATTAGTTTGTAATTTTATTTATACAGTTTTTTTATAATTTAAAATTTCCTTTGATTTAAATAAATAAGCCTAAATATTATCTATTGAATTGATTTGTGTCATAAAAAATAAGAACTCTACTCTTTACCAATATGATACATAATGTACTAAATACATAATATGGTACATTATGTACAGATGTTCACAAATAATCTGATTAAGAGATACAATTAATTTTTTTAATTATTGTATATTGATAATTTAAAAATATATTAGTTTACAGTACAAAAAAAACATAGCACAGGGGGGTCGCGGCACAGTGGTGACGTGGCACAGTTAGATCAAGTATAATGATATCTGACAGAGATTAAAATCACTATAAAAAAAAAACGCTTCGATGCAAATCTTTAGATAGTGTTTAATTTTAAAAAATTGGTGGATTATTCCAAAAGCTACATTATCTGCTAGTTCATTATTAATATCCTAATTAAGATAAAGTATGTCGAATGAAAAAGGGATTATTAAAAAATATTATTTCTCATTAAAAAATGTTGATCCATTCACTTTTCAATAAGTTATATCATTATAAAGTTAAAAATGTAAAAAATAAAATCGAGAATTTTCACACAATAAAAGCATTCGGTAGCTATTTTCACCGTGAAGACAAAATAAAGTCCGAAATTTTTTTTTGCATAATAAAGTACATATCATAATAAAGTACAAGTATATTAGCTTTAATTTAAGATTTATATAAAAGTGTCAGTCTTAGTAAAACATCTTAGTAAAACCAATACCTTCTCAGCTTCGCATCGAAGCTAATATGAAAAATAGAAGTGTATAATTGTTTATACAGATTAATTAATTATTTTTATTGTATATCTCCTAAGGTAATTAATATTAAATCATTTCTCATTGTATTATTACAGGCTAACCATATATTAAAGTAATTAGTATTTATTTTAGAATAACAAGACAAAATGTATATAATCCACAAAAAAATATTATTTCTGGAAACTTTGTAAAACAATATAGCTAATTAATAATATCTCAAATGCGAAGGAGCATCTTAGATATATAATTGACACTTCACTATAATTAACGTTATTTCTAATTTTTATTCTTAAAATAATTTATATTACACGGCAAAAATATAAACTCAAAATATCTGTTTAAAATAAATTGTTTAAGTAAAATATTGAAATTTCACAATGTTCAAATTAAATATCACATAATTAATATAAAAAAAATTATTAAAAACTCGTATCGAAATATACCTTTAATTAATAAAATAAACTAATAACATAATATACTTAAGTATTATTTATACAATAATACAATAATAATATTATTAAATATAATAAAATAATAATAATATTATTTCAATATTTATACATCCAAAGTAAGAAAAATTATTGAAAAACATAAGATTCTGATACGAGAATATATTTTTAACTATTGTAAACTTATCTAAAAAATATTATAAAAAATACTAAAAAAATTACACAAAAATTGGAGTCTATTAGTTAAATATGTGTGCTAAATAAGTAATAAATTTAAACAAGTAAATATGAGTGTAACACTAGTAGATCATTTAAGGTATAGACTTAATTTTTATAAAATACATCAGTAGATACATTTGATAACAGTTGATTAATAATCCTTATAATGATGTCTGTCAATTTAGGTCTAAGTTGAGGCATCATAACTTGTATAACTTCTTGACTGTTTTCCGCTAAAAATAAATTAGTTGCTTCACCTAAAAAAAAAAAATTCAAATGTGAAATAATTTAATAAAAACTTAGTTTTATTGATAATCATAGTAAATAAAACTATACCACCACAATTATTAATAATCGTTTAAGTTCTAAAACTTACTAGGTAAAGATTTTGAATTCTCTAAATCACTCATTCAAAAAGAGTCAACGCAGCTTTTTTATTATTAGCTTCGATGCGAAGCTGAGAAGGTATTAGTTTTACTATGATGTCTTTTTTTTGTTTCTGTTACCACTTTTTCTCAGCTCTCATCAAACGGATTTCTTTCAACGATATGTCAAAAGATCACAAATCGTATCTAGTCGAAAACATTACCCACAAAAATTGAAAAAATTTCCCTCGTTCCCCGTAAATAGGGGACACCTCCAAAAAAATTACAAATTTAAAAATCGCTAATTTTTTCAATTTTTTCAATTTTTTTTATTAAAAACTGCCATAACTTTTTCAAAAAAGAACTTATCAATATAGTTTTTTTTTTATAGATGCTTGATGTCTATATTTATCATTTGATATATTTTTTTCATAAATTTAACCCTTTACCTTCCCACAGAGGGGGATTTAAAATGACAACTTTTTTACAAAAAATAAACCTTTACAACTTAACTTTTGAAAGTGTTCTGGAAGGTCTGACACTTTTATATATATCTTAAATTAAAGCTAATGTAACATACTTTATTATAGAAAAAAAAAATTTGGGACTTTATATTGTCTTCATGGTAAAAATAGCTACCAAATGCTATTATTGAGTGAAAATTTTCGATTTTGTATTTTAAATTTTTAACTTTAAAATGCTATAACTTTTTGAAAAATATATGGATTAACACAATTTTTTCATGAGAAGTAGTATTTATGTACATCTTTCATTCGACATACTTTTTTTTTAATTCGGACTATTTCCTTATATACAAGGGGGGTTCAAATCTAAAAAATGTAGCTATCATACATTTTCTTAGCTCTCACTTGATCAACTTTTTTGACAATTTTTTTTTTAAATTAAACACTATCTACAGATTTGTATCGAAGCGTTTTTTATGATAGTGATTTTAATCACTGTCAGATATCATCTATACTGGACCCAACTATGCCACGACCCCACTGTGCTGGGTTTTTGTTTTTTACATGTAAAAAAATGTCGTATTGCAATATGATATTTACATCTTTCTGCACCAACATTATTTCAAGATAAATATATGAAATACCTTTTTATATAGTGTGACTGACATAGACATATTTCATAAAGTTTAAAATATATGAATTGTTGGTACGCACTTATTTTTATTGAAAGTTTGTTTTACGCAGTAAAGATTTCTTATGTTAAATAACGAAATAGTTAAAACCATTGCTATATAGATGACTAATAAATTTACTAACTGCAATATATTTATATAAAACTAAGCTATTAAGTAATAAATATTTATTTTATGGACTATTTAATTACCTATTATCCTATTATTGTTGATATTACTGACTTTCATATGTGATTTTTTAATGTCTAGTTCAATGTCCAAGTTGTCCAAACGGTAGTACTCTTTAGACTTCTTTTTATAATTAGAAATGTTTCCTTTAATATTCACCCAAATATCATCTGCGAGAATATAATCATAATTAATAAAATTAATGATTTGTTTTATTTTAAAATTTCATAATATTTAAGTAGGTAAATGTATTAAAATAAATTAAGTCACATAATTTGTCTACTGATACACGTTTATACTTTACTTTTACTTTCTAAAACAATAATCATTAAATTAAATTTTAATTGACGAATTAATTTCAATATTTTTTATGTTAAAAAAGCAATTTCAATAAACAGACCCCACAATATCTTACAGGGTATCCAAAGATACTGATTGATATCAATTAGAGCATTTTTTTAATATATATAACACTACTACTAACCCAAATCTGCGTGAAAAGTTCCGTTTCCAGTGGCAGGTATTACTAAGAGTACGCCACTACTGAGATATTTCGCATCCAACGTCATTCTTGGAATTTTAATCTTACCTTCAAATGGTGAATTAGAGTGAGCTCTGAAATATAAAGTTAAATTATATACTACATATTAATACTTAACAAATAATAATATTGAAATTGTAATAATTCCCTTTTATTATACAAATTTATTACTTTATTTTATATCCTAAAATTATTTTAATAATAGTTTGGCAAACAAGTGATTATATTAAGATTTGGGTTAGGTTTATTCACAAAAATCAGGTTAATATAAAGCCAATCACATATTTTTAAGCTTCAATGCGAAACTGATAGTATATTTTCTAAATAAAAATTAAATGAATTATTCTTACACGAATAGAATTTTTTAGAAAAAAAATTGTTTAGATAGTTTTTATAGGATATTTAAAGCTATTTTAATACCAGAAAAAAAGTTTTTTTATATTACAAGACCTTTAAAATAAAAAATACTAGTCAAAAGATTGAGAGATGTTAAAAATTTGAATATGATAAAGCTGAGTTTTAAAATCGTTAAAAATAAATTGTGAAAATTTATATTTTTAATTGAATATTGAAATGAAAAAAATAATTTCTATTGTACCTTAATAACTTTAGGTGATGGAATAATATTTTATCAGCGACTATGTAGTAAAATTGCATACCACTTACGCCTAAAATTACATATAATAACTGAATTTTTAATAAAAAAATATTTATTTTTGATAATAATCATATTTAATTATATAGATATGAATTTTGTTGAATAATGTGTTTTATATTTATTGGCTCATAAATAAATATTTTATTCTATGAATGATTTTATAAGATGAATAAGTATCCATACAGTGAGGTACTTAGAAATATTTTACAAGGGAATTTTACAATAATAACAAATTTAACCGAAATAAAAAATATTGAATATAATGAAGTTGAATCCTAAATCTCTACTATACATACTGTAAAACCAATGTTATCTTAAGGCTTTGATAATAAAATTTTATATATATATAGTGTGATTTATTAAGAAGACTACTTACCATTTTTTAATTAAATAATGATTTTTTCCTAAAAATTTACAAATTAAAGTTTTATTTTTTTTATAAACCACAGTAAATATCAAGTTTATTATAAGTGAAAGTTATTACTAAGGTTGGGTTATATTTCAGGAGTTACTGTTGTAAGTTAAATGAGATCCTTTAATAATTTTTTACTATTAATTGGAAAATGGTTTATATCAAATTTTGATTGGTCGGTAACCAGTTTTAGAGTACTATTTAAGACATTAGCAATTAAATGTTTAGAAAAGATGAGATGCGGCGTAGAATTAAACGACGCTTTATTTTTACTATAATAATAAAAATTCTTGTACGTTGCGCCTATTATTTCCTATAAATAAGTATAAAATTAATTCATAAAATATTAGTATAAAACTGGTTATTGGCTAGCAGTGTTTTATAGTATTTGAGTCAAAATATTTAAATACTTATTGAAATTTTTGAAATACTATTAATTTGGAAGTATTTTAGCGGCATTTTAAATACTTTTTTGATACTTGAAATACATTTTCGATTACTTAAGTTTTAAATTTGTATGCACAATCTGTTTGTAATTTAAAATATTATACAGGGTGTTCAGTAAATAAGGAAACGAATTTCTATTGTACTCATTGTTTGTAACAATTTAACTGTTTCCTAACTTACTGAACACTCTGTATATATTATTAGATTGATAAATTTATAATTAAAATTACATATTTTTAATACATTGTTATTAAAATGTATAATTATCACAGTAATAAAATAATCTTTAATTATAAAATATTCGTTATTAATTCAAATTTCTCTTTCTTAATATAATGTTATTAATTATTAAATACTATTTTGGTTCATCTCTTATATCATATAGGGGTGGAAACTTTATTTTTTAATTGACAACATAGTTATTTAACTAACTTATAATATATAAAGTTATTTAATTAAGAAAATGACTGGTCGATAAAAACTTTTTGATCAGTATTTTGAAAGTTATTCAAATAAATTTTTATACCTGAGCGGGAAAAGGAGTGCGGCAAAAAAATGTTTAATTTAAAAAATAATAGCATCCTCCAGTCTATATTTTAAAATGCTAATAACTTCCAAAGTATTGGTCCGAAAGTTATTATGGACCAGCTATTTTTTAAATTATACAATACTCTATAAGATTTTTAAGATTTTATAAAATACTTAAATAATATTTAACATACATATTATGTATTTTGTTATTTAAAAAAATTATGTTAACGCCGCTATAATATGTAAAAGATAAACCTACCACAGACATTAATTAGTTTTATAGCTATATACTTTGTTACTGACTCATTTTCAACATATTATTTAATTTTTATAGTTTTAACAAACGAAAATATTATTATTTTCTTAGTCGTATCTTGTATTTGTGTACAAATTACACAATGTAATTTGCTCTCTATTTATTGTAGTCTGTAAATTATAATATGAAATTTAGTCTTAGAAATCATTTGTTCTTACATTAAAATTTGATATTAACTACGGTTTATAAAAATAAATCAAATTCACTTTTATGAAAAAATCACTTTAAAACAAAAAAAAAGGGGGGGTAGTATTCCTAATAAATCACACTGTTTTACATCATAATTTAGCGGCTTTGTTCTATGAGAAGAATAATATTTAACTTACATAATTTTCTGAATGATAAAGTCACTGGCTCCGTATGCATCAATATCTTTCAATGTAATCTTGTATCCATTAGTTCCGCCAGTAAGAGCTAAACTTAACGAGTCTAATTTAAATGGCTCAACTGGAGGTAATTCAATTTCTTTAATTCCTAAAGTAAAATAAAATAACTTTTAAATACGTTATAGTATTAATCACTATTAAAACCACATTTTTATTTGACATAACCCCTTAAGTTATAAAATTTTCAAAAAAAAAAACAAATTATTTCTGTATTACATGGTTTAGTATAAATTCTAACAATAAATAATACTTACTACTTTTGTATCCCCATTAAGTTGCCTGACATTTTCATAATTGAATTTTTTACTAAGAAAAGTAATTCAGTAAGAAAATTCACCTAAACGCAAATTATTGCATTTACATTGTTTTGCCATCAACTATGACAACTATTATTCCCCACGGCCATAAAAGACGTAGAAAAATTTAATTAAAACAATTACCACTGTTCAGTTTCGCTAATGTTGTCATTAAATTATTATTTGTTATTATATGTTCGACACGCCATTAAGTTGAGATATGAAAACAAAATAAGACGATAGATTTTCCATATAAACACACGCAACGTACCGTTTTAACATTGGATCATTCTTTTCGACATTGACCGATTTACCGGCATTACACAATAATACAATGTATTATAATAAGAACGGGTTCGGAATGACTGTTCTCAGAACCACGCCTGGAACATATACGTAAATATACATGGGTTTGCAAAATATTCGCCAAGATATTATGAGAAAAACTATAATTTTAATTTGTGTTAAACACATTATGTAATAGTTTCCACTGAAAATATTTTTATTTTATTTTACCCCCACAAGAAATGTATTGAGTGTGCTTATACATAAACGTATCATAGTAAGAACCTCTATTGTTAATAGCAAACTAATAATAATAAAACTTAATAAATCACCAAAACCCAGAATTCGGTTGTTATTAGTTTAAGACTCCTGAGTATGAAAACAGGTATTGTGATTTTGAATAGGATATAAATAGTTTTTTTTTAATACCTTACCTTGTTTCAAATAGGGTTTGATATGGTTAAGTGCTTGTATTATACAATCCACCAATTTTGGATCATTTCGAATACATTGTTTGACATAAGGAGCTAAAATAATTATAAAATTTATATTATGAATTATAAAATTTACAAATAGAGAATTAAGTATAAGTGTCATTTACTATTGACGATAGAAATTTAGTTAACTTAATACATTCTATTTTCATAACTATTGCACTAGTCATTATTTTACCAAATATTTAAGAGTTGTCCTTAAATTGTAGTATAGAACCTAAACTAGTTTATTATTAATATTAATTGCAAAAACGAACACTAAATGTATAATAAACAATATTTATGTACTAACTAATAAGCGTTTCATGCAAATTACTATAAAGTAAAAAAAAATTTTCAGGTCTACAACATTAACCCGAATTAATTAGATACAAAAGAAAGTTTTAATGACGTTTTCAACTATGTGTCTTCTTCACGTGGGTAATTTTATTTTTGAATACAAATCTATTTCCCTAATATTAATACTCCTGATAATTGCTTTGAAACTTAATAAAACAAACTATATAATTAACCAACGACTTAGGCGACAGCAACCTACCATTGCAACATAACGCCTGCAATCAGGTCGTTGTAGTTACAACCGGTTTTCACTGATGGTATTAGTATGATTGTAAAAGTAATGATTTCATAAGTAATAGAAATAAAATTTGAATTCAATTAGGGGTAATTATTATGAATATAGACTCAGACCGCGTGGCAACTCGAATTAAAGTTCTAAGAACAAAATTAGTTGAGATGAAGAGTCATATTAATACGATTATGAAATAATTTGTTTGGAAAAAAATAAACAAATTTAATTGATGATTTAAAAGTTACATAATCTTCAATAGAAAATTATATACATTTAAGTTGAGTGTAATAATTAGTTAATATTCTAATTCTTTCCTACAAGAATATTGATTGACTTCTTATATTGTTAGAATTAAAGATAATTTCACAAACTTTTTGAAATAGAATGTGAAATAAATATTTGTTTACAAATATTAATTAAATTTTCTGATACTTAAGACTTATACAAGTTATTTTAACATCTTTAATTCAATACAATTTTTTTATTATTATTATAATATCTATAATATTTTTAATAATTCAAACAATCTTTTATAAGATAGTATTATTTAGAAAATGCTAGTACTTGGTTGAAAATTATTTCACAAATATTAAATTTCATTTTCAATTACTTTTATACACAAAATATCTTTAAAAAATTATCAAATTTTGATATATAAGAAAAAATTTTTGTTTTAGTAATACAAGCAAAAGCATAAACTTAAGAAAGTCTAACTATTTGTTATATTATTTATTAAACCAACATTTTTATTTAAATAATTAATACAGTCATATATATATAACTAATGAGATAAAACAATTAAAAAAGAATAATTGTCATTTAAAATATTTTTACTGAATCAAAAAGGGTTTTATTGACGTGTTTAAATTTAATATCAACTTACGTATGACTTTTGAGGGTTTTTCTGCAGATCGAACGCAAGATACGGTAACAACCGTCACTATAAAATATTTTAAAAACATTTTGTTCAGCTATAAATAACAAAAAATTTAAATTAAACGTTAATAAAATCAATATTAATGAAATTTTACAACAACTTCCCTGGAACGAAACTTTAGTTTATTAAAAATAATAGAATTTAATCAGTAACAAAACACAACTTATAAAAAATTGTATGATAACATGATGAATAAGTCCAACTAAGATGGTTGTGGCATACACTGACTCAGTCGATACAGTGATTTAAAAACAACTTTATTTGACGGTTACAACCTTTTTGTGCTTAAGATGATCCCTACCATAATATAAAAGTATGGTGATGGATGTAACTATGTACATTGCTTGATGGCAGCAGCAGATGTTTATGAAGATGGTTTTTAAATGTAATTTTCCTAGTAATTTGCGCAATACTACCTAAAATTATAACGTAATTATTTATGTAGTTTTTTATTAATCATCGCTTTCATATAGTTGTATAATTATTTTATAACTTCGGAGGAAATAAAAATATATCGCTGACTGAGCATTTGCTTACATTATTTATCAATAAGTACTAGTAAAATAATTACACTCATATTTTGTTAAGGAAATATAATAACATAAAAATAACTTTAATGTGATATGATATTTATTTATATTAGTAATGACGTACATAAAGGTTTAACTAGTATTCAAAAATAAGTTACAAAATAACTACTAACTTGCTTGTCAGTAACGAATCTAACATTTTATCTAAGGGAATTGGATTTATAAAAATAAAACTTTATTTTACTTTTCTGAGATGAGTTTCTTGCTAAAAATAACTATCAATTAAAATTATTTAAAACACGACTTTTAATTATTCAATAAAAAATATAAACCAAGATTTTACTGTAAATAATTATCATCATTCAATTAGTATTCAAACTAAACGTTTTTCATTCTAATAAATTGTTAAATCGTTTTTTTTTAACTTTAACTAATTTAAATAAAATATGAACAAATAAATTAAAAAAGGCATTTTAAATGGAAAATTTATAATTCACATTTTTCAATAACTGCTGAGGAGTGGATGGTGCTATCACTAAACATTTATTGGCCTCACTCCTAACACCTAGGTATAAAAACGTAAATAATTGTTTAATTATTGGTCAAAAAGTTACTGCCGACTAGTTGTTTTCTTAATTAGTTCATTATCTAATAAATAAAATATTTAACTTTATATGTTCCCATTTAAAAAAGTTGTCACATTTATTTACTATAACATCCAAAATACCATCAAAAATGTACAGATTATAAATTTATCTTAGACATTTAAAACTATTTAGTTTATAAAAAAAAATATCAAATAAGGTACATTTAACTTAATTATTCTAGTTATATGCACTTGTCAATATAAGTTTAATTATCAACTTTATTTTTATTTATGTTTTACAAAGATTATAACTTATATTCCAATTTCCTTAATAAATAAATTGATATTCTTAAATAAAAGAAAATTGCATGATTTTTTTGTAATTATAATACATTCATCCAATTATGTATCCACATTTTCCGTTCCATTAAAATACAATACACCGTAAAACAAGATAAATAAAAACAACCCCCCAAAAAAAATCTTAATCTTAATCATTGTCATTTTTGTTTAAAAATTATAAAATATATCAATTTATGTTTAAAATAGCTGACCCCAAGTAGTAAACATAAAAAGAAGAAAATTAATTCATGTTTAAAATTATAATTTAAAACTCATAGGAGTATGTGTAACCCGACTTTTTAGTGATTTTTGCGGCTTTCTGAATGAAATATATTTTATATTTGTTTTAAAAATATTTTTAATTTTAAATAACACAAGCCATAAGTGATATAAAAATAGAATTATTTCTAGTATTTTATAGATAATATTTGTTAACTTTTTGTTTTGCTTATTAATTTAGTTTTCAAGATTCTTATCAATGCAAGACCTTTTGTGTACGCACACCTTATGCACTTAATACAACGGCCTTGGATCTACTCTTCCATAAATTTCTATTCACCCAATTTTACGATATGATTACTAGTAAATATTTTTTTAATAATTAAAATCTTTGTTTATACAAAAAACTTATTTATATTAATATTGTGCTTATTTTTTATGAATTTTATCAATGATATTTACAATATGTAAGTAACACATACGTTAGATTTAATAATTCAAATAAAAATTTTTAATCATTATATATTTGATTACGATAATAAGTTACTCAGCTAACAAGTTGTTAACATAATTTAAAAAAATTGTAATGAAGTTTTTATATAATACTTTACTTTGATATTTTTCAATGTTAAATAAGTATGCTTAAAAAATAAATTATTTTTTGTTAGTCAAAAGACTACTTAATTTTAACATAAATAAATAAAAGCGCAACCAAAAATTTATATCAAGAAATTTGAACCATAAATACGAATATTAAAAACTAATCATTAGCTAAATAAGCTTTATTCCAGTTAAAAAAAATTCAATTATTTCTTAGAGATGAGAGGTTAGAACCTTAATACATAGGCTTATGTTGGGGGGCTTAGGGATCTCTCCAATTTACAATTTAATTTCCTATAAATTTAGCAAATTTATATAAATTGAAATACAACAAATTTTTTTAAGAGAAAATTAAATGTAGCCCCCCCAAAAAATTTGACCACCCTACGGTTTTGCATTATCTTCTCTCTTGTTATGTCATTAATATAAAATATTTTTATCCATATATTTTACTTCAAAAATTTGAAGCAGTAAAACATTTTAAAAATTTAAATTTTTTTAATAATAATTTATTGCATAAAGTTAGAATGACAAAATACATTTCGAATTAAAATTTTTAGGGAGAAACTCATCTTGTGATCTATAAAATTTTAATAAGTTATTATTAAGATTATATAGTGAATTATGAAATAAATCCTGAAAATTAATTAAGGAAAATTTCACATGAACAAATTTTTTTATACTAATCTAAATCATTACACATTTAGTATAAATTATAGATTAGATGATCTAAATACGCAATTTATTGGCCTGTCGACCAATATATTAATTATGAATGCCTACGCCCAAAATGATTCTTAATTTTTTTAATTTTATTTAATTGTAGTTATGTGCTTTTGTATTTTTTTGATTTTCAATAATAACATTTTTTGGGAGAAAAAGATTTTGCTCTATGTAGTGCATTATATAGACGATAAACTCAAACCAGCCAATGATACTAATAAAAATTGTATATATATTTTAAGGCAAAGTGTAATAAATGTATGTTAAGAGTTTAACATAATCATTTGTTAGAAAATAATGTAGTTATTATATGTTACTATATTAAGAATTCTTTACAAGAAAGTTAATAAGTATAATTCAATATTTGTGACCATTATAATTTAAAAATATTGTAGTGGTAAATCTTAATACAATATTATAAATAAAAATATGATAATTAATTTTAATTATAACAAATAAGTTTTAACAAATTAATTGTTAATTAATTATATTCTGTAAATATACTTCAGTGAATACTTTTTGAAAATATCACATGGTAAAGTTTAACGATACAGATTAAAAAATAAGAAAATTAATTACTCTTTTAAGGTAACACTAGGTCAATGAAGGTTCTTGATGCGATTATATATTAATAATTATATTTGATATCTCATTTGAGTCCAAGATTCTTGTAATTAAATTGCAAGACAAGAATTTTATCATTAATTTCCGTTTAATATGGATAAAATATCATTTTCATTCAATATTTCATGAAACTCTGAACATTTTTAAGAACTCCGTATGTTAGTAATAATTAGAGTTAAAGAATACTTACAAAGCTGGTTATTTCAGAGGAATATATGAGAAAATAAATAAAAAAACTGTCGATTTTAGTTCAAGGTTAAACTCCTGCTGCTTATATATTTAATAGTCTCAATAAATACACATCATTGGTTCCTCAACTTCTAGATTATTTACAACATGTCTATTTTCATTATGTATAATGAAAACAGTTAATATGAACTTAATTTATTATATTATGTTAATAAATATTTTAGAGGAGACAATCGAATTTTCTGATATCAGATACGATTACGTGTTTAATATTTTGATATTGATTAGTTTGATTAGTCTAAAAATAACATTAAGTTTTATTAAAAGAAAATTTTCAATGTTGAAATCGTATTTATCCATTTAAAATATATTGATAAATATTTAATATATCAACAAAATTAGATACAGACAACTTTTCTAGATTATAAATTAGAAAAAAATCTGCTAATATATAAAAATAATTATAACAATATGAACTAAGAATAATACAACTTAATGATCAATAAATATATATAATAAAATTGTGGGAAGAACATTCAATTTGTTTGAATGGCTCCCTAAACTATGTTCATAATATGAACTCGATACTGCATATCCCTTAAGCAAAACTAAAAAATAAAATTACAACTAATTATAAGACTAAAGTTCAAATGAAAAAAAATATATTGCTTACAAATGAAAAAATATATGAAATACCAATTTTGAACATTAATTCAAATTTATAGTATTTTATATTTTAAAATGAACACTTTTTTTATATTTTATTTGACCTTACTTATTATATTACTAACAATACGTATACTTCATTTAAAAAATATTAATTGAATAACAACGCCATGGGCAGTCAGAATTACTTGATATAAATGCGGGATTCAATCGAAAGCGGCAACAATAATTATAATGATTAATACAATATGAATGATACGTAGATATTACAGTAATAAGACATTTGTTTGTTAGTCAGATGAATATTTTATAATATTACCAGGGGCATAATTAATAATGGAATGAGGGATGTAGTTTTCTAAATTAAAAATAATTACATTATGAAAATACAATTTTTTTTTTCGTTTGGTAAGGATAGAAAGTTTTATATATATATATATATATCCCTCTAGTACAAGATCTTAATTACACTACTAATGATGTAATTAGGATCACGATACACTTTGCCAAGTGTTTCGTCTTGGTTTCAGAGAAATAAATATAGAATAATTTCAA